TATCACGGTATCCTCTGTTTCTATAGCATTCACCTGATTCTTTCCTTCATGACTCGGGATGGGGTTATTGACAATATTAGGCCCAGTCTCTTCTTGGATATCCAATCTTCCGCAAGCAATCAACTTTCTTACTGCTGTTTTGAAGGCCTCACAATCTTCAATGGAATGTCCTGCCACTCCCATATGATATCTACAAGTAGAATTTGGATTATACCATGCTGGGAACGGAGGTTGCATTGGGCGCACAGGGTTTTCCGAGATCAAATGAGCATCAAACAGACGTTGGAATAAATCCGTATTGGAGATAGACAGCCTTGGAAATGGTGGAAGATTTTGGGGACGAAAAGGGGTTTGGTTTTGGGAGTTTTGCTGTGGTTGAGTGTAATTTGGACGATACTGTGGACGTGTGGGGGGACGAGGAGCATAAGACGGACGAGTTGGCACATATGGTGATGGGGTAGGTATGTTATTTACACGAAAATGTGGGGTGGGCGTAGTGCTTAAATTTGGGAAGTTTTGTGGCGGCGGCTGAGAGAATGTGGGGGTTTGGTAAGAGGGATACGGGGTAGGATGGTACGATAGTATTTGGTGGACTGGGTTTGGCATGGGGTATTGAGGAACAAAAAATTGTTGTTGTTTGACATGATTTACTTCAGATTCTCGTTTCTTGGATTGCAACCCTTTTTTAGGAGGGCTACTCTGCCTGTAGTCCATTGGCAGCTTTCCAGCCTTGGCCAATATCTCAATTCGTTCCCCTGCCGCTATGAGATCAGCAAAGTCACGATACGCAGCGCCGGCCATCGTTCCAACATATGGAGCTCCTAAAGTCCCTAGAAAATAAGAGCACATTTCAGACAGTGTCAGCGGAGGTTGGACTTGTGCAGCAAGAGCTCTCCATCTCTGGGCATACTGCTTAAAGGTTTCATCATTCACCTTTTGCAAAGCCCCTAACTGTTCCCTAGTTGGGGCAGTATCTAAGTTGAAGCGATATTGGTTCATGAATGCGTCTGCCAAGTCTTTCCAACAGGCAATTTTAGAATGATCCATCTGGATGTACCACTCTAATGCTGGACCGGCCAAACTCTCATGGAAGAAACTAACGAGGAAGACCTCATCTTTGGACCATATTGCCATCTTCGTGCAGTACGTCTTCAAGTGGATAATTGGGTTTGTACTTCCATCATACTTACAAAAATCTGGGACCTTGAAATCTTTAGGGATAATCACGTCCATCGTGGAGCATAATTCCTCCACCCCAAGAGATCCGTAAGCACTAGGGCCCTGAATAGCTTTGATCTTCTCTTCCATCTTCTCCATCCATCCATCCTTTATTTTATCCTTCTGACCAGAGATGTGACCATTCCCAGACTGGGTTCCGGTCGCCTGTCCCGCGGTGAAATCATTTGTCCCAGCTTGTATGTGTGCCTCAGCATCGGCATTCCCCATTGACTGATATCCTTCACCAATATGAATTGTATGAGTTTGACCATTAAGATCGTTCGTTGCATCTCCCATCCCATTCATCCCTTGGGTACCGCCTGGCTGAGTCGTTGACTGTTGCTGCGCATTGATGGACACTGCTAAAGCTCGCAATAAATCTTCCATCGTATTCATTCTAGCTCTTACGTCGTCTACTTCCTGGCTTATGTTCCTCCCCTCTTGATCGCCTGCTTCCATTCTAGTCCGAGATCTGGTGTTGTGAACTCGGGTTTGATTGGTATTACTTCTCCTTGGTCGCGCAATGTTTGAGTCTTAAAATATATTCTGCAAGTGAGAGCAATTAAATTTGGAAGAAAAATGTTTATTTTATTTTGTGTAAAGATGGCGTAATGAGTATTATTATCAATGTTCTTATTTTTTAGAATAATATTAATATTGCAAGTTTGTCGGAGAACCATTGATGCGTGTAAGTTTGACGTGAGTATCATTGATTGTTTTTCTTAGGACCATTTCTCGGAACGTCACGTTCGAAAGTACTAGGTCCTATCAAATATCAATACGGGATCACAAATAGGTAGCGAACAAAATATCTTCATTAAAGCCATAACATAGTACAAGTGTTTCAAAGGGATACATTGCTTTTACATGCGCCTGATGATCGATTGTTTCATTTTCACAATCAAATTCCTACAATACTCAATAAAGTCGCGAATCTCTGCAGGAGTAGTGAGGGGGTTCACCAGTGCCTCTGCCATTCCTAATTTGTTCGGGATGTTTTTAATTGCATCATTAGAGATTTCAGCTAAGTTGGAAAAACGAGTCATCCAGAATGCTACTTCATGTCTGCACGCAGCAACGATTTCATCTTGCCCTCTGATGTAATCAGTTAGCCTTTGTACTTCTTCTCGCTCTCTCCGAATTGCATCTTGGTACATCACGATCACTTCCTCTGTAGACTGTTTTTCCTTTTTTAGCCTGTCTTCATATTTTGCAGCTCTCATCTCCATTTGTCGCCCCATTTCTGCCATTTGCCTCCTTGAATCTTTATACGCCGCACTAGAATTTTTGAGTAACTCTTCAAGTTGTGTGCTCTTAGTAATAGCCTCATCTCTTTCGTTTCTTCGGAGGCTTAATTCCTTGTTTGCTGCCTGAAGGCACCCTTTAGTTTTTAGCATATAATTTTCCTCAATTTTGGCCCTTTTATCAGCTCTTTCAAGAGTAAGGTTCTTCTTCATATTTTCTTGTTCAAGGGTCTCGCATCTTTGTCGAGCTTTCTTAAGTTCTACTTCAATCTTCTTCTTCTCTTCTTACCCTCACCAATTCTCCTTGTATTTCTCTTATTTCTTCGTTGTCGTGGGAGGCAGACATTGATGATTCACCACTTGTAGTGACTGTCAGAGCTTGGAAAGGTAGCTTCACTTCTCGTGCTCGACTTGTAACCCACTGTCGGTAACTATTTTGGACTCCACAATTTTTGGTCTTCAACTCTTTCCCCATTCTAATGACATAGTTCCAAGCATCTCGAACCCTTTTGAGGGTCTCATTATGTACTGGGTTCATATCATAAAGGACGAATGGAGTTATCATCTCCTCCGTAGGAGCTCCTCTCATAGGATAGCCAAGTTGTCGTCGTGCCAAGGATGGGTTGTAATTGATACACCCTCTGGTACCCATGAGAGGCACATTGGGGAAATCCCCACATTGGTAGATCAAATTTTCTCTTTCGACCCATCGAGGATACCATCGGACGCTCTTTTCGTCCAGCTGTGCTAAAATTTGGGCCCATTCACGACCACTCTTGACTCCTAACTGATATCTGTGAAACTCAGTGATGGGGTATGAGATCTCGTATCCTCTTTTGAAGACATGGGCAGTGAGCCATATGAATAACATCGGCAAACAACACAAAATTCTTTTTCCTTTCTTCTCATGACAGAAATTTAGAGTATAGTAGACATCAGCAAGAATGGCCGGAACAGGATTTTCACCTCTAAACTTGCGAGCAAAGAACACATCTATAGCTGCGAAGTCCACAAACTCATCAGCATTTGGAAATATGAGAATGCCGTAAATGGTGAGAGCTAGCACATCAATGAAAGCTTCCCAGTCTTCAATTCCAGCTAAGTGGTGAAGGTGTTCCTCCAGGTACTTTCTTGAAAATCCATCGATCCCATTTCTGTTTTGTTTCTTCTCTTGCAAATCCTTCACAGAAACTTTGAGGACATCGGCAATAGTATGCAAAGAAGGATAATGCCCCAAGTAGCGATATGGTTTCTCATATTTTTCCAAAGAAAAACCCAGAATCTGCTCGAATTCTTCCAAAGTAGGTGCTAATTGGAAATCTCGAAAGGTGAAGCATCTCAGAGGTGGGTCGTAAAACTGAGTAACCGCAGTGATCGCATCTACTTGCACATCAACTTCCAGTAGATCTAGAATTTCCCCATATTTTCTAACAAGAGTTAAACATTGTGTCTTCTTCAATATTCGACCCAAGACCTTCAAACTTTCAGTGTCAGGCTTCCTTGCTTTCAGTTGCAAAGTCTTTTTCAATACGCGTGGTGCTATCTCATCGCGATGTGATCCCGTACTATCATCCATCAATAATACTCACAATCAAACTTTGGAACTCAAAGTTTCTCGAACAAAATTCCCTGGAGGGGTTAAGGTAGACAATATGAGATGTTAAAAATGCTAAATGGTGCAAGATGAAAAAATAAAAAATAAAAAAAAATAAATAAAATCCTTTTTTATAATGAAAGGTATGCGTATGCCTAAAATACTCCACTATGCAAGATGCATGAATGTTTGAAAGATAAATTTATGGAACGATGATTTTGAAATAATGCAAATATGCGAAAATGGAAGTAAGAAGTGAAAAGGAAATACGCTCCCATTGTGTCTTATATTGATTCATAGGTCATTCTATGACGTGAATACTTTCGTTGGGGTAGTTTTATAACTCTATGTATTTTGGCTACTAGAGCTAAGATCCCATTTCGAAGGAGAATAGCCAAATAGGATGTACATCCAAAATGACTATAATTCCGAAAGAGTCACACTCTAGCCGAGATTTTCGTGATAACCAAACAGGATGTACATCCAAAATGGCTACCACTACACAACCTCTCTCCTATCTTAAGTTGCACCCAGACCCGGGTATAGGGCCCCACTCGTACGTGTGTGATAAATGTATAAGTGGCGTGTGTGAAAGAGCATACAACCCTTCATATAAACCCTAGTCTACCCAATCTGCAAAACAATTGAGAGCAAGCACATAATAACATAAAAAGTCCTCCATCCTAAAGTTGAAGCCAATCATCACATCTTTCGCATAAAAATAAAAAAAAATAAAAAAAATAAAAAAATAAATAAATAAATAAAAATAAAAAAATTAAAGAGAGAGAAAATAAATAAAATAAAAATAAAGCAAAATAACAGACTAAAGGGAAGCAAAGCAAATATATAAATCAATTTGCACAATTAATTAAAACAGGCTTGACTCTCAAGTATCCCCAGCGGAGTCGCCATCTGTAACGACCCGAAAAAAATAAAACAAAGGAGTCGCCACCAATTTTATTTACTTTGGAAAAATTGGAAAACCTCTTATTGCAAACTGGTCTTTAAAACTTTAGATCAAAGGTTCGGGAGTCTAATTACGCGCAGGGAAGGGTGAAAACTTAATCCCACTGCACCCCTGACACATCCGTTAAAAAACGATTACCTTGAATTAATTGTGCGAATTATTAATAACTTTTAAAAATATTTGCTTTATCCCTTAAAATAAATATGATTATTTAATTAAGAAAAAAAAAGACTAAAATTATTAAAATTTTATTTTAGCTTGACGGAAAAAGTTCCTCTCCGACGTATCCTCCGGTGCAGTGAAGAATTCAAAGCTACGTCGTTCTTAATAAAATATTTGTGTGTTGATTCATTTTAATTTTGAAAAAAAATCATTTGATTATATTCGACGTTCCCGGATTACCAGGTTGTCCCAACCAAAATGATCCGAGCAAGACGTAGGATTAACAAGCTGTCTCAACTCAGCTAATCCGTAATTTTAGAATTATAATTTTATTATGAGTCATGGATCACCAAGTTGTCCCAACCAAAGTGACCCAAAACACAAAAAACGTCGGGTTAACAAGTCGTCACGACTCAGTTGACTCCCATTTTATTTAATGATAAATTAATCTTCTTTATTCTTTATCTTCTAAATTAATCTAAGATCAATAATTTTAAACAAAAATTACAATTGTTTATTTGTTCATTGATTACTGCTAGACAGTCTAAAATCACCGTATTGTCACAATCAAAATGATTCTAAAAAATAAAGGGATTAATGATATCAAAAAGAGTGAAAATAAAAATAAAATAGAAAAAAAATAAATAAATAATATAAAAATATAAAAATGTAGACTAAAAAAAGCACAAGAAACATCGCTCATCTTTCCTTCTTCTTCTTCTTATTATTATTATTTTTTAAAATGATAGCTTAAAATATGTCCACGAACTACACCATATGCTAGATAAGGGATGAGTTTAGCTAAAATATGTTAAAAAGAGGTGCAGTAACATAGTTTCATGGGTTGAATTAGATCAAAAGAAAAAAAACAAAAATGTAGTTTGAGCCCATAGCTTAAAGTTACTATTTACATTAAATAAGTGATAAAAAAAAAAGAAAATAAAACAAATCTAATTCATTCATCGATAAACCTGCAATCTAAGAATTCTAGTGCTAACGAATTTAAGAATATCAAGTGGTTGTGTTCTTGCATATCAGTAAACAGACCAAAGATTTTTTTTTTAGAAGTCCCTGACATAGACAAAACGAAAACGTAGAGCGAACAACTACATATAGACAAGACCAACAGAAATTCTTTTACACCTAAGCCAATTCAGCCTCCAACTTTTTCCTTTTACTTCTTAGAACAGAACAGACACATATAAACTTGGGGAACATCTAATAAGACTAACTCAAATCATCAGAAGGATTAACAACTACATACACCATATTTTTATTTGTTAACTCACATTAGACATAATAGTTGTGAAAAGAAAAACGTGATTAAGAAAGAGAGAAAAAAATGTGTTACTCACAGGCTGTTTTCTCAACTATGAAATGAGAAGTGCTAACCACCTCTTTGACCAGAATCAACTTTTGAACCTTGCAATATGTGCCTTGTGGTCCTTCTGTCTCTGGATCAACTTTTCTTCCCCTTCTTGAGCGCCGATCAGAATGCCCTCAGGCAATTTTTCCTTAAATTTCAAAAACAACCCTCTCTTAGTTTTTGTGTAGAATGTTTTTTTCCCCTTTGGATCCCAGGTAACCCTCTAACACTAAGTCACATGTAGTAGTAATACCAGACTTGCTAAAATTTCCCTTCCCTTCTAAAAAAAACCTCCTTCCTCAATCCTTTGTCGTTTGCTTTTATAGGAGAAACTAGAAGAAACCCCTCCTCAATGAGTCCAATGGATTAAAGAAAACCTAGGGTCCTTCGATGAATTGCAGATACTCAGACTCGGATCCTTCACCAGTCTCCTCCGATTTCCTTTTTAGGCATTGCTTCTAGGTCTTGGTTCCTGGTGATTTCTACTTTCATGCTCTGTCCTTCGCCGGTTTGCAGGGGCGGTGCCGTGCGTGGGTAAGAGAGTTTGCAGAGAGCTCTGAGGATGAGACATCTTCGACCATGATGGGAGCGTTTCATGAGGTCGTACACAAATTGGGGATACTTGGCGTAAGATAAAGAAAAGGGAAGAAAACTAACTAATATGATTTCTGAAGATACTTAAATCTGATAAAAAAGAAAAGAGTTTTTTTTTTTTTTGTTGAGAAAACGGTGCTCACAATTTAATAATAAATTTTTATTTAGAACAAAATTAGGTGTTCACAGTTTCCTTACCTTAATTTTTATCCTCGTGATTTAGATGTTAATACATTTATATGTAAAGTTTTCATCTCCTGGTATAGAAATATTTATTTTATGATTTAGATATTAATGATTTTTTTAATATAAACAGAATTCATTTAAAGAGAAAGCGACGAGTAAAATAAATAGCAAAAGGCTGATCTTGTTTTATTAAATATATATTAAGGAAATGAAGCAAGCATATGCATTTTTTTTTTCCTTTTTAATTGTTAGAATTCAAGTGTGAGTAATGAAGTCTCACATTGGTTATAATAAACTTAATGAGAATTATATAATTGAAAGGACCCATTAAGCTTTTGAGTTGAGATGTATTTAAATTCACTTTTTGTGATGTGTTTGTTACTTAGCCATTTGATGGTAAGATTTTGGGTTGACTTATTATAATGGGTTTATCATCAATTTGAATATTTGCTACCCAACATCAATTTGAATCGAACGAGCTTTTAAATATTTGCTATTGCCATGCTTGCTGACTCAAAATATAAGAAGATTAATTTCGTAATTGGCATTATGGATCTCGAATGTGGAACATTCGATTTTGTATGCAATTGAATAAGTTTTGATGTTTTTCGCTGCTCTACCTCTACGAGTCACTTTCAAACCAAGAGAAATTGAAGCGCAAAACTATATCAAAGGGTTTCTTATCTATCTCCTTTACCCTTGGAGCTATTATTTGCAAAGAGTGATATCGGGAAGTTTGAAAGAAAAATGAGCCATAAGAACAAACAAAGAAACAAAATGAAAATTGACCAATAATTGCCATTTTATTTACATATATCATGTCTAAATGTATTATTATTATTATTGTTTTTAACCCAATCATACCCCGACTAGGGGTGAAAGTGAACCAAGTCGGCCTACGGCCTAGTCTATATCAAGTCAGACTCGACTTATTACTTATAGTTAAATAGAATAGACCCGGACTTTTAAAAAAGCCTATATAGAAAATAGGCCTTATGTTTTTTTACATGTCGGGCCTATACAAGTCGGCTTATATTATATTATTTATTTTAAATAAATAAAATAATATTATTCATAGTAATACCAAATGGTGATAGTTCATTTGGTACATGTGAGCTGAGTACGTGGTAGAAAGAATTATGTTCGATCCCCACCAATATTATTTTTGGGAGTGACATAAGATCTGTATCAATCTCTACAGTATCATCATAATCAACATTTTGTGCTGGAGGAAGAGTTATTGATGCCTATCGTTCTAGGTTAGCTGAAGATACAATCCAAACTTTAATATATGGTGGAGATTGGCTACATATTAAGTATGACTTAAGGAAAGAATATATGGTGACATAAGATCTGTACCAATCTCTACAATATCATCATTATCAACATTTTGTGCTGGAGGAAGAGTTATTGATGCCTATCGTTCTAGCTTAGCTAAAGATACAATCCAAACTTTAATATATGGTGGAGATTGGCTACATATTAAGTATGACTTAAGGAAAAAAGAAAAGGTATAAAAAGGTTTTTTGTTTTTAATTTTTTTTTTTGTTTTTTTTTTAATCTTGTTTTTTATTTTCTACATTTACAAATTGTTTGCCAACTTATGTAACCTTGGAATTGTATTTGCAAGGGAGAGAAGATAATGAGAAATTTTTGGCTACTACAAGCATTATGATGCATTTGTTGGATTCATGTAGTTATTTTAAT